GCCGCTCTCGCCCCCGGTTGCCTGATGGTTTCAGTGTTCCCTCGGGGTTAAAGCTCGTCGCTGAACTGAATTTTTTGCTTCTTTATGCAGTTCAGTTGCGGAAAGCGCGAACTAATTCTGTGTTCTTATTTTGGGTTTGTTTGGGTTTTAGCTAAAACGTTAGCGGCACCATGATTCTGCATCGGATACTGCGGCTTTCTTCCATTTTTCGCTCGGCTGTTTCCGTCCACCTGCGCAGAAACATAGGGCTTTCTGCTGTTGCCTTCAATAAGGCAAAAGAGCTCGACCCAGTGCAGAAGCTCTTCTTGGACAAGATCAGAGAATACAACACAAAGAGCAAGTAAGTAAAGGAAATTGTTTGAAGGCTGATGGCAAAAGGGGGGAAAATGTTGGTTTTCATAAATGCTAAAATGTGCTAGCTTTGTTGGTTGGTCTCTGAATACTTAAGGTGTGCTTTCCTGCAGCGCATATTGATAGTGTCACAAGTGAGAAGGCTTGTTCTTGCATGCCTGACAGAAAATGTCCATTTTTTTCTCTCTTAAAAAGAAAAGTAAAGCTCACGTCATTCTTATTGGGGAGTTAAGGCACTCAGTTAAGTTTCTTTGCACAGTGTGAACATACCAGTTACTTTTTACCCATCTATGTGCTCTGTGGAGGAAAAGAAAGTAGCCCCCCCCCCTTTTTTTTTTTTGTATGGGGAAAGTGGCTGTTCCTCAGTCGTGTTTCCAGAAGCCGAATGGCAAAGGCTTCCAAAAGCAATTGAGAATTAGTGGAACTCTGAGGCGGATTTCTTAAACATCTTTTGAGTTAATAAGCAGTTCATTCAAATGGAATCTTAGTTTCTTGTAATTGTTTGAATGAACTACTTTATAGGAAACTAAAACTGTAGCAATTCTGTGTAATTTATTCTTGGGAATTATTGTAGAGAAGGAAATAAGCCCCTTCTCAGTTCTACTGGAGGGGAGATGTGCGTTTCCACACCTACAAACTAGCCTGTGTAGGGGGGGGCATATTTTTGGTGGCTTTACCAATCGTAAGTGATACCTGTGTTTGTACAACTGAGCACTGGTAATCTAAAAAGCTATTATTTTAATTATTTTATATTTATATCCAAAGAAATTCCTGTCTGAATCTATGTGAATGCAAGGTGCGCTGTCTCTTGGGGTTTTTTGCTTGTTTGGTATTCAAAACTTGTTCTCTTTGCGAGCAAAGTTGAGTTTTTCTAACCAAGATCACTAATTCAGAAATAGCAGAGGTACAAATCACAGTTTTGTTATGAAATCACACCTGGAACAAGCGAAACTAAGAGCCCTGAAAGCCTGGATACTCAGTGTGGTTTTATGTCTCAAAAGGCTACTATTGTAGCTTGGATTTTCATCACTGTCAGTAGAAAGCCTGTACTTTACCCCAAGAACCTTGTTTATGTGTAAGGTAAGGAGGCCCTAAGGTGTGTCATGTCTTGACTTTTGGAAACATGTTAGATGGCTTGCTTTAGTTGGTTGTCAGAAAAGTTTTTAATTCATAAATGGCCATGAAAATACAGAACTTCCACTGAAATTTCAGAACTGAACTGTTAATCAGAACTTTTAATGTTTTTAGGCAAGCTGGAGGGCCTGTTGATGCAGGCCCTGAATTCCAGAAGGACATGGATGAATCTCTTGCTAGACTTCAACGGGCATATGGTGAGGGAGATCTAACCAAGTTTCCAGAATTTAAATTTGAGGGTAAGTTTGCAGTCTTACTGAATTTCTAATGGCAAGCAAGGGCACGTTCACTGACCAGTTTTCTTAATTAATTCCCACCTAGTTTTTATTTGGACCATTAATTTCACCTAAGATGCCTTCAGTGAATCTCACTTACTTTTGCACAGTTCACATCTGATTCCGTCTGACGCCTTTCTTTCATTATTTGCCTTTTCCAGTAGAGGTGGGGTCTGCCTTGCACTGACGCTTAACACAACTTGCAGTCAGATCAGGCTGTCTTAATTACCCTTCACAGACCTCAAGTAGCAGCCCAGAGCCTATTGTTACTTTTTTTTTTTTCTCATCCTCCCAAAGAGGTCAGCAGACTGTTGTCTCTGTCATCCAAACCGCAACTTGTACATTTTGTAAGCTCATCTGGAAAGTCGGTGATTTCAGAAAGTGAACCTAGAGCTTTGTTACTTAGGATGACTTTGTGACTAAATTATATTAAACCTTTTTCTTGAGTTACTTGGATATGATTTCTGTTTAACAGCTCTGAGTTTGTGTTAGCATGTTTTCATATTACCCAGATTGATTATGACAAGAAGAATGCTTGTGACAGTTGGTTTATCAAGAATGCAAAGAAACTGCACAGACTCTGCCTACCTTAGGATATAAAGGCAGCTTAATTTTTTTGTGGACAGGCTCGTTTCTGTAGTTCCCTGTTTCTTTTGCTTGGTTATGTAAGTATAGCTCAAAGTCTTCATTGCTCGCAAGCAGTTCTAGCTAAAGTCAGGTTTTGTGGGGGTTGAGCTGTTTTATAGGCTGTAAGCAGCTGGTCGCTGGAATTCAGCAATCTTTTGAACGTGCTGTTGTATTTGAGGGCGGGGGGTGGGCTGCAGGGGTGGCCTCTATCAGAAGAGGCCGGGGGGTGTTCACACGTTGGACAGTGCCAATACTATCTGGCTCCAAAATGGACCCACTGCAGGACACAGCTGAGCCAGTCACCGATGCTGGTGGCACTTCTGCGACAACGTATTTTAGAAAGGGTGAAAAACGCTGTCTCTGTTCTCAGCCCTCCCATGGAGG